TGCCTGCATATGTTTGAAGAAATTATATCTCACATAATTCCATGGCCATAAAATCCAATAATGACACAACTATTAGGATGGCTAAAATAAAAAAAAAATAGCGATAACACCAAATGCTGGCAAGTATGCTGAGAAACACTGCTGGTGGAAAAGTCAAAGGCTACAGCCACTTTGGAAAACAGTTTGGCAGTTTCTTATAAAACTAAACATGCAATTTCCATGTGACTCAGCAATTGCACTCCTGGGCATGTATCCCAGAGAAATAAAACTGTATGCTCACATAAAAACCTGTACAGAAATGTTCACAGCAGTTTATATGCAATAGCTCCAAACTGGAGTGTCAGCCCAGGTGTCCTTCAAAGAATGAACGGTTAAACAAACTGCCAATGCTTTGGTAGATACACGCAGAGGCGGAATAGGAGGATCAAGCAATGGTTGATCTGTGTAACAACTCAGATGAATCTTTAGGCAATTATGCTCCAATTTTAAAAGATTACACCCTGTATGATTTCATTTTTATGATATTTTTGAAATGAGTATAATATTTTTGAAATAAGGATATTTTAGAAATAAACGGCAGAATTGTGATTGACAGGTGTTGCAGGGTTGGGCTATAAAAGGGCAACATGGGGGATTGTGTGGATTTGGAAGAGTTCTGTATGTTGACTGTGGTGAATACAGGAACCTACACGTATTAAGGTTGTACAGAAGTTACGCACACAACCCAGTACAAGTAAAACTGGGGGAATCTGAGTAAGATCAGTAGATTGTACCAATGTCAGTGTACTGGTTGTGATACTATAGTTTCGCACAATGTTCCCATTGATTGAAACTGGGCAATAGGTACAAGGGATCTCTTTGTATTATTTCTTACACCAGCATGTGAATCTGCAATTATCTCAATAAAAACTTCAGTTGAAAAAAAAACCTTGGATCACTCCTTTTATCAGGGGGAAATGACTTGCATCATGTTCTTCATAATCCTTAGTTCATATTTTGTTTTGTTTTGTTTTTGAGAAAGGGTCTTACAACATTGCTTAGGGCCTTGCCAAGTTGCTTAGGCTGGCCTTGAACTTGCCATCTTTCTGCTACAGTCTCAAAAGTTTCTGCGATTACAGGTTGGTTCTTATTTTGATCAGTTGTATGTAAGTACACACTCTTGTTGCTTTTGCTGTGCCAGTTAAAAGTATGTATGTATGTATGTGTATATATATATATWTTTTTTTCTATAAAGCACTTCCTTCTCCTAATAAGCTTGATTATGTATACTTTGCTTAGTTTTTTTCAAAAATGTTAGTCTACTTTATAAAAAATATGATGAAAATTAAAAAAAAATTAAGTTATAAACCTGATCAATAATAATATAGCAAAGCTTACATAGTGGTAATATTTAGTTTCGGTTTAATTCAGAGGAAAAAGCCCAAAGACCTCTGGGAATAAATAAATGAAGGGCTAGGAATGTAGCTCACTGATACAGTACTTGCCTATAACGTGTGAAGCTCTGGGTTTTTTGGTAGTTCAACCCTCAGCACCAAAATGAATAAACAAAAAGAAAACAAGAGAATAAATGTGCTCATGAGTTCCAATTTTCTACATCCAATTGCTTAAAAATTTGAAAGGTGAAAGAAGCCTAGATCCTATTTGTGTCTGTGACCTTAAAGGCTAATTTTGATGTGGCTACAGGCTCTGAGGCTCCATCTCAGGTACAGAAACGTGTTCTCAAGAGGCATTTGCTATAGCTGTTCAGTCCCACTAGGAATCCTCTGTGAAATATCCCAGCAGATTTCCTCAGGGTAATAGCACTAGTAGGTTTTGGAGCAAAGCCTGCTCCACACATTTTAGATGCGTTAATAAGAACTACCATTTACCGAGGGCCTGCTGTATTAGACTGTTAAATCCACATCCATGATTTAATTTAAGACTCACCAGTAGCTTTCAAGGAGTGATAGTATTATCCCCATTTTACAGATGAGCAAAGTAAAACATGTAGAATTTCATTAACTTTCTTTAGCATTAGCTGTGGTGGTAGAGTCAGGGGAGAATGTGGGTCGTGTGGGTCACAGCTGCTCAATTTTTAGCACAACTGATACCTGTATATAAGAGTCTATTCCTGATCTGGCTCCTGAACATGTACATCTGGTATACTCCTAGTGTTATTTGCTTGATCATTTCCTTTAGGGTAGGAATTCTTAGTCTAAGGTTTATGGTCCCGTATTAGATCCACAAATTGGTTTCAAGAGATCATAAACCCACTGAAATCAGGTGAAAAATGATGTGTATTTGCACATTTCAATTTTTCTGGGGGAAGGGTCTAGAGTTTCTATCAGATCCCCTCCTTTGGGATTCAAAAAATAAGGGTTAAAAATTATTGCAGAGGTTTTTTTTTTTTTTTTTTCTCTTAAACTGGAAAATGTTTCAAATGCCCAATAACTCTGACACCGGAAAGGGATACATTTCAGGGAAATAAAATCAGCTGCCAAGTCCTACACAGAAACCAGGGTCAAAACTGCTGTTTGTAAAGCCATTGCAAAGAGGACACTTGAAGAGACTCACCGAGTGCCATTTCTGTCTCAGTAGAATTGTTTGACATTTCGTATCTATTTATTCCAGATAGTTCTAGAAAAAGAGTATGTTTGACAGATTTGATACACGATGAACGTATAGACCTTAAAGTTAATGAGGGCCAGGCTCACAGCCTTGTAATAAAATAGTGGTTGATGATTTTTTAGTGAGCAAATACCTTTTGTCATCTTTGTCAACTTTTAATGGAGTCAAGTGTGTAGACTGAGCATAGAGCTGCTACACAATGGTACTTCTACTGAAAACTGAGCTGGAAAATGCTCTTATTCTCATGCCTTTGCTTAGGCTGTTCCTCCTGTCTCTAATGCCCTCTCCCCAGTTCTTCAGCCTGCAAACTTGAACATTGTTTTTAAGGCCCCAGACCAAGGCCTTCTGTGACTCTTCTGAGATATTCTCATTTCTCTCAGGCAGAATTATTCTGCAATCCATGTTCTAGTCCTCTGCACACATCCCTATCGTGGAATCACTGTCAGCTGTTCATGTCTGTTTCAGTTAACCGAGTCTTCAAAATGCTGAAGCTGTGACTGATTTGAGTTCCTTGTCCCTAGCCACATAATAGGTGGTTGATGTTTGTTGAATGAATAAAACATTAGCTTTCACCTAGGAAAGTCCTCCTTGATCAGGATGTTGTGAAACACGGTTACGTGTGTATCTAGTTACATGACAACATGAACTACGTGTTAATGAATAAAGGAAATGACTTTCAGTCACCTCCAGAAGCAAACTTGTGACTCACAGGTTGAGGAAACAACCAAGCAAAGAAAGGCCTAGACACCTTGGCAGGTAAGTAAACAATGAGGTGAAGCAAGGAAAGGTTTCAAGGTCAGGAACAGCTGGGGACAGGAACTGGAGGCTGGATTCCTGTAAGCAGGAAGGGGAAAAAAGAAAGGGAGAGGGAAGATGCTTTTCTTTTCTTTTTTTTTTTTTAATATTTATTTTTTAGTTTTCAGCAGACACAACATCTTTGTTTGTATGTGGTGCTGAGGATCGAACCTGGGATGCACGCATGCCAGGCGAGCGCGCTACCGCTTGAGCCACATCCCCAGCCCGGGAAGATGCTTTTCAAACAGGAAGTACTGACTGGATTGAGAGAAGAATAGGAATTACTTGGAGACATTAGAGACCCTGGTCAGATTCATAGTTACTAAGGGCTCATTCTAGTGACAATTGCCCACAAATGGAAGCAGAGCTGGATTTGGATCTACTACTCTTTTGCTCATATTCTTGACTATTTCACTAGGATCCTTGAAAGTCTGAGCTGCAAAGGGCCTTAGAAATGGTCTGGGATCAGTCTTTTATTTGATGGACTGAGGCTTTAAGATAGGACCTCTTGAAACCAGCCCACCAGAGACTGCTTTTACTGGGCTTAGCCTGAGACAGGGAGGCATGTCAAAGTGCTCTAGGAAGTGGTTTCTAATCTAAAGACTTGTGACCTCAGGAAAGGCTCAAGGCTTCATAGATTACAGCAAGGGCCCCTTGTTTCCTTGGGACACAAACCAAATAAAGGCACTCCAAGAATTTGTAAGTTAAATGAATTAGGAAGCGGATCAAGTATAAGTTTGATAAACAAACTCAGCTTTTCCTAATAACATTTTCTTTATTTCCTCTCTATAACATGTTACCATAGAGATGAATTTGTTGCATGAGAAAGCATTGCTTTTAGTTTTTATCTGCAACTCTGGGAGGAGGGGAAATGTAACAAAAAGCAGGTGAACACAAGGCCTATTGCTCCTGTTTAGTTTAAACATCTGTAAATTGCATAATAACGAACATCTACCTGTCAACTTTATCTTTCTCATCTGCTCACCTTGTCCATATTTGGTACTTCCTGCGTTTCTGGCAACTTTGGTTACAGGTCAACAGAACACACAGGTTGCACAGAGTACACCTAAGTGTTTGTCTCTTTGGGAAGTCCCTCCCTTGAACTTGCGGGATCTAAAGCTCTTTACTCAAAAATGGAATCGCATGCCCGTATGCAAGGTGCTTAGTGTAGGTACAGGCCATCGTCTCACGCAACTCTCCCTTTCATAGCTCTTTAGGACACTGGAGACCTGGAAAGCAAATTCATTCCCTGAATCTCAACAGCATCTGCAAATCAGTTGTTCAGGAAATTGGTCACGACCAGAGCCGACCCTGCGCGGACAGCGCCTTCCTACCCGCGCCGCGGCCCAGGTGCGCGGTCCGCTCCAGCTCCAGCTCTTGATGTACACACCGAGCGCAAGAGGCGCGAAGCCCCAGGCCCGAGCTCCTGGACCGGCGCGCGCTAGGCAGGAGAGCTGGCGGGCGACGTCGCGGCGCGCCGCGCCCCGCCCCGCCCCGCCTCGGCGTGGCCCGCGGGCACGCGCACGCACGCAGTCGCGGGGGCGCACGGCGCGGGGCCGCGCAGGGCCGGGCCGGCACGGCGCCGGGCACGCGCGCGGCTCCGGGAGGCGGCGGCGGCGGAAGCGGCGAGGGCGGCGGGCGTCCGGCTCTGAGGAGGTAGAAGCAGCGGCGGCGGCTCGGAACTGGGCTCAGCTGGCTGGAGCAAGGGTCGGAGCGCCGGGCCGAGCGCCGATCTCCCGGCTGGACCACCCGCCCGCCGCCCAGACGCCTGGGCCGCGGAGTTTGTGTCCCGGCTCGGACCCCGGCGCCCAGCCCGGAGCCGTAACCTTGAGGCGGCGGCGGCGGCGGGGCCGGGCCGGGCCGGGCCGGGGGGCGGCGGCGCTGGATCCGCGGCTGCCGGATCGTTGGCGGGAGATGTCGAACCCTGGGACGCGCAGGAACGGCTCCAGCATCAAGATCCGTCTGACAGGTACGGCTGGCGGGAGGCCCACCCGCCCCTCGGGCGCCCCCTCGACCCCCGCACGGCCCCGGAATTCCCCGCAGGGCGCCCTTGGAAGTGGCCCTCCCCCACGCCGGCCGTTGTCCCAGGACCTCGTCACCCCCCTCGGCGTGTGCCCCTCGCTTCTCCCTCCCGGCCCCGCCCCCTCGCCGCTCCCCGGCCCCGCCCCCTCGTGGTCGCCCCCCTCCGCGTCCCTCGCTCTCCCCCACACCTGCCCCCGGCTTCTCCCCGGCCCCGCCCCCTCGCGCTCCCCTTTTGCTCTCTCGCCACCCCCTTGTCTTCGTCCCCTCCGACCTCTCCCTTGCTTCCCTTTCTCTCCCCCACCAGCCTCCTCGATTCCCTCCGGCTTCCCCCATCTGCCCCCTCGCTTTCCTCCTCTGGTCCCGACCCTTGCTTCCCACTACCTTTCCATCCTCTCTTTTGCTTCCCTTCCTCTTCTCCAACCTGCCCTTTCACTTCTCCCTCCTCGTACCCCGTACCGCTTCTCTCCCCTTCCACCCTGTCTTTTGCTTTCCTCCCCCACCCCACTTGCTCCCCTTGCTTCTCCCCACCTCCTCCTCGCCCCCTCCTCTCCTCCATCCTTCGCTTCCCTTTCCCCCAGCCTCCTTCCTTCTCCCTCCCTGGCCCCGCCCCCTCACTTTCCCTAAGCCACGCCCCTCGCCTCTACCTAGTCCCGCCCTCGCTTATCTCCCAGCCCCGCCCCCTCGCTCTGTCTCGCGGCCTCCACCCTTTCTTTCCTTCAGACCCGAATTCCTCAAGCCTGTGTAGTAGCGAGCGTCACCCAGTCCGGTTCTCCTCGCTTCTCCCGTGGTCCAGCGCTTCAGTCTAGTCCACTTCCGTTTTCCCTCTGGCCAGGCCACTGTCTGCTCCTGACTATGCTTCTTCAATTCTTGGTTTTCTGTCTTGCACTTCGCGGTCACCCCGACTCAACACCCTTGAGCCCCGGTTGGGTGCGATCCCCCTCCCACACACTGGAGGCTGTGGTGCTGCACAGGCGCAGGCTCCTTGATTCACTCCCATTTAGTCTTCAATGAAATGCCCGTGTTTCCTAGGTGGCTCTGTAGTGCCACCTTCAAGGGTGAGCGCGAATCTCTGCTGTGGGCCTGCGATGTGGTGGTTTGGGTGCGTGGAGATGCGAGCTTTCTGCTACAGCAGATCCTAGACCAACCTGCAGCCTTGTCTTGCCTCCTCCCTCTCCTCTGTACTTGCTACTGCCTCTCCTCCCGGTTCACCCCCCAGGGCTTCAGATTCTACCCTAAGGCTGGACTGGAGTGTTGCAGATAGGGTTCTTCTTTGGGACTTTCCAAACTCGAATATTTTCAGTTTGAGAAGGAAATAAAAAGTTCATTCTAATGCCTGTCAGGGATATTTTTCCCCCCTGGATTTTTCTGTTTAGTAACCAGTCCGTTGACTCCAAAGGCGGTCTAGTCAGGTTCTTTCAAAGGCAAGAGTGAGCATTTTGAAATTTTATGGCACATGCATAGCCATAAAGTCAGTGGTAAAAAAAAAAAAAAATCCGTAAAAACAATAGGTAATTTTTTTCAAACTGAATTTACTTTGAAAGTCTGTAGTTGTTGAGTGATTCGGGTTTACTTTTAAGAAAAGCGTTGTTATTTTTGTATAAAGATATTAGATCAGATAATATGAACCCAATCCCAGACCCTGGTTTTGTAAAGTGACAGGTATCTCCTCCGGATCTGTGCTTCTGGAGAAACCTACACCTTTTATAGCAGGGCAGACACTTCTGTGTATGCATAGTTATTTGTGGTTACTGTTAAAGCACATTTTTTTTTTTTTTTTGACATTGTAGTTGTGACAACATTGGTTCTGACTTACAATGTAACCTGTAATTGATACCAGATTGTTTTCAATTTTCTTTTTAAAAGCAGAAGTATCTGATTTGGGAAGTTTTTGTAGAAATGAGATGAATGTTTTAGAAGGAATAGGTTTTAATTAAGGTGTTTTGTGTCAGGTGGATATTTATGTTAACCAATCTTAGTTGACTGGTCTGGGTCTTTTCCTTGTGAAAGGGAGAACTTAGTTTAGATGTTATGGATGCAGAAATGCTTTAGAGTTAGGGTGGCCTTTGACAGGGAAGGATCAGGTGATAAGTGTTCTTTTAGAACCTTTTCCCTTTCCCCCAGTAGGTGTTATTAATGATTTGAGAGGGTCTGAGTGTGGTGATTGTGTACCTATGTGATCCCAGTAGTCTCAAATGTGTTGAAGGTAAGGCAGATTTTGGCCTCATGTTTATGGTTAAAGGAAGTTTGAAACATTGGGTGGTCATCTTTCAAAAGTTGAATACTTCAGTTATAAGTTTTCAGAGTTTATTTTCACATTTGATATTTGAAAAAAATAATGTAAAATGAGCAATATTGTAATTAGTTAATGAATATCACAAAGAGCATAACAGAATACAAACAGAATAAAAACATGGGGGTTATTAAAGAACATTTAGTGTATGGACTCCACAACTGTATTTGGTGAATAGAGCATTAGATTTCGATTAGGAAACTTGGACTGGTTAGATCTCTCATTAACTGCATGATATGGAACAAATTATTTAACCTTTCTGCCTCTCAGTTTCCTCATTTATCAGATAAGATTCCAACTCCATTATAACATTCCTTGAGCCTCTTTTTCACAAGACGTATCAATTTGGCTACTCACTTATTTTTAATTGCTGTTGGGTGTGTATACTTTCTGTTGTTTTCACTCCTGATATTCAAGAGTTTGTGTTGAGGGATTTATGCCACACATTAATTTTATATATTGATTACATTTATGCTTTTTTCCTTTCTTCCCATGGGACCCTTTTTGTTTTGAAAACTATTGGGCAATATGGTGAGCGCTTTGGAAATCTGGTCTGAACAGTAGAAGAATGAGTTTTATATTTAAAATAATGTAATTTTAATGAATGTCTTTGTGGTATTTTAGTAGGAAAATGGTTTTAAAATAATTTCATTACTTTGGGGGGCATAGTATATACAAAAATCAAGTGATTTTTGTTAAAAAGTATTACCTTGCAGACATCTTACCAGTTCACTGACAAATCAAACACTTTCGGGAATATTTTAGTTTGAAGTTCAAGCAGGATTTGCAAAAACTTTGTTCTTCTGTGGTATGCAAATGAATCCCAGATACATTATTTGCACCACTTTGGGTCAAAGAATGGAATTTTGAGCTCTAAGGGTTCCACAGTGCTCTTCAGAAAAATAATAAATTTTATTCTGATGTTAACCATTTAGTTGAAAGACTTTTATGCCTTGAAATACTGTCAGATCTCCTTGTGTTTTTTATGTCTTTTGGTTGTGACTGTATATTGTGAAGAGAAAAATTCTAATTCCAAGTAGAGGGAGGGGAACAAGACCTTCATTGGTCGTATATGGAAATGCAAGGATATTTTAAACGTTGGAGCATATGTAATATAAGGTGGTTTGTGTTTGGCATTTGGATTTTTTTTTTTTTTTTTTTTTTTTTTTAAGAAGAAACTGTGTATTAGTCCCTCTGTGCTCTTGTCCATAAGCCTCCCCCAAGTAATCACATTGTTTTGTTTGTTCATTTTTTTGTTGTTGTTTTTTCCAGGTTGTGGGGATTGAAGCCAGGGGTGCTGTACCACTGAGCTGCAATCCCAGTCCTATTCATTTATTTTGAGACAGGGTCTCACTACGTTGCATAGGCTGATCTTGAMCTTCTGATCCTCCTGTTTCACYCTCYAGAAGAGCTGGGATTCCAGGTGTGCACYACCACATCCAGACCAAAGCATTACATTTGCAGACATAGGACTTTACTGTTGAAGGTGACACAAGTGATGTGGGCCCAACACACATCGCCACACTTCCAGACTGAATCCTGGACATTTGGATTTTGCAACTTGGAGTGAAACAGTTGCTAGTAATAGCTGTTAAAATTTGAATTGATTGATAATAGGTGGCTTAATTGATTCAAAATAGTTAAGCTTCTCTTAAGATAATTTTGAAGAGTAGCAATTGCACCAGCAAAGAACCTCACTTAATAAGGCATACAGAACTTTATTTCAATAACTGTGATAAAATGGACTAAGTGATCTGTTTAGTTTTTAGCCGAGCTCTGTATCATAGTGTACTTGACATTTCCCTGGAGTCTGCCTCAAAGTTAGGAGGGTACAGGCAAGGCATTTCTTTGTACTGAATTATCTAAGCTTGTAGGCTAGGTTAGATCAAATGCTGCTGTAGAGCTTACTTTTATATTTTAAAAGGAATCACCTCTGCCAAATACAGGTTCTATCGATGATTTTGTGATTTGATAACATTTGTGGGTGATGTGTGTGTGTGTGTGTGTGTGTGTGTGTGTGTGTGTGTTGGTACCAGGGATTAAACCCTGAGGCATTTAACCACTGAATTATATCCCTATCCCTTTTTATTTTTTACTTTGAGAGAGGATTTGCAAAGTTGCCCAGGCTGGCTTTAAACTTGGGATCCTCCTGACTCAGCCTTCTGAGCCTCTGGAATTAGAAACATGAGCCACCATGCTGGGGCAAAATCTGTCCTATACTTTATTTCTACCTTCATTTGAAAAGTAGTTCTAATCCATCAATTTACAGTTTTTTACTCTAGGTTTATTTCTCAGTCCAAAACTTGTGTATTTTTGCAACCATGAAAGTTGTTTCTTAAATGTTGGATTTCCCCTTCTCTTCTATGAATTTTCATCTTGGTTCAGTGGAGGAGAGGTTCTGGGGGCTGGATTACTCACGAAGTAGTTTCTTATGAAKTGAGGGGGAGCGGAAATCCATATTTCAACATTAACTTAATGATCTGTTAACTAGACTGGTTTTGTAACACATTTATGGGCACTGTTTAAAAGCTAGAACAGCCAAATTCTGCATTTTATTAAGTGGTTCCAAAAACTCAGATGGATGAAATATTACTACATCTTCACAGTGCTCTGATGTTCTGGTGGGGAACCTTTGGGATTCTTACTTTGGATCAATT